GCTGCGGTGTTCCCTCCGTCGTGAAGTGGGAGAAGGACAAACTCATGATGATGACTGCGTGTGATGGCCGCCGCAGGGTGTACGAGTCCGGTGACAAGGGGGATTCGTGGACTGAGGCACTCGGGACACTCTCGCGCGTGTGGGGCAACAAAAAGCGTGAAAAGGTTGAACTCGTTGGGAGCGGGTTCATCACGGCGAAGATTGGCGATAACAGGGACGTGATGCTCGTCACTCTGCCGGTGTATTCAAGTAAGGACGGCAATGGAAAGGGCGTACTCCATCTTTGGCTGATGGACAACACGCACATTGTTGATATTGGGCCGGTATCCGAGAAGGATGATGACGAAGTTGCCGCCAGCTCCCTGTTGTACAAAAGTGCTGAAAGTAAAGATAAGGATGAGCTGATTGCACTGTACGAGAAGAAGAAGGGCGTTGAGGAAACATCATCCGGTATGGCCTCTGTGCTTCTGACTGCGCAGCTGCAGCGAGTTAAGAAGGTGCTGGCGACGTGGAAGAAAGCGGACGAACGTGTCTCCCAGCTGTGCACCTCTGAGAGTGTTGGGAGGGATACCTTACCTGGCACTGCCTGCAGTGCTGATATTAAGATCACGGATGGGCTGGTTGGCTTTTTTTCCGGCAACTTCTCTGATAAGACATGGAGGGACGAGTACCTCGGGGTGGACGCCACAGTGAAGAAAGAAGTGGCAGCTGCTTTGCGGTGACGAAAACCCTAAGGAGCTCAGCAGCACTTTGGGGACAGAGACAACTCAACACGTGGTAATTTTGCGACGGAACGGCACCCAGTGCACCGCGTGCGTCGATGGTCAGCGTGTGGGGGATGTGCCGTGTGTATTGGGGAATGGTGATTCGAAAGAGATATCGCACTTCTACATTGGAGGGGATGGAGGCAGCGCGGACGACAAGAAAAGCCGTGAATTCGTGTCTGTGACTGTGACGAACGTCCTGCATTAATGGACGGTTGTGAGTTCCGCAGAGATTACTGCGCTTAACAAGAACAAACCTTCTACTCCAAGGACAGTGGCT